GACATGGAACTGGCTGAGATCTCTTCAATTAAATATAGATGCATGGGTTTGTTCATCATTCAGACCATTCCATTTCAATGAAACATCGTTTTTGGTTTGTTTGATCTTTTTCTGACGCGCGAGATTAGGTGGTTGGGGGTGTTAGTGAAGCGGGCCCCAAAGTCAAAAAAATACTTGCTGATACGGGTCTGATATATGAGTCTTACTCTCCAACACCAATGTATAGAACCGGTCGCGATTGGACATATTTCCGGGATCGTCCGAGCTGAGAAAAAGAAGTTTGTTTCACTCCATGCAGGGTAACCAAAGATGATCCAAGATTCAGGATGAACTTGCAGGTCTCAATGAGGCATGGCATATACGCGATGATATACGTCGATCTAGTGAACACCCAGCTGCTGCACATACCTCCATGGCCTTTTTTTTTCACCTGCGGGTTTCAGACCGACGAAGCCTGCCCAAAGATCCGTACATCGTACATCGTGACTGGTCTCGAGCCACACCAGGTTCCATCCAGGATCCATCCGGGATGGGAAACACGTTCAACAGGTGTATCCCTCCAGCAGCTCCTCCGATCCTCGTCGCCCGTTCGTGGAACGGTCTCATGTGTTTCTTTGTGTGTGTTTGTTTGCTCGCGTCGTCGAAGAGCCGGGATTTTGCTTCTGTTTTTGCACCAAGCAATTAGGTCACCTGTCGAGCCAAACCACCTCAAAAGCCGCTTCAAAAGACAGGTCATATAAACCACCTCAACATTCTTCAACCACCCCAAAACTCCCAACGCTTCGAACCTGTCCTCGACTGGCGCAGAACGAGTTCTGCGCAGCTTGGTTCGCGCGCCATAGCTGAGGCCTTCAGATTTGTCGAGCCCAGTGGAGGCCAAAGGAGGGACAGAGAAATACCGTAACAGCTGGAAGACGTGCTAACATTTGGCCAATCTATGCCAATCTTCAAAGTGTTGTCGAGCTCTCTTTTTGGACCTTTTGGGCCCTAAAACCCATCTGGGGGTGTGTATTGAAAGGCCGTGAAAAACCTGTGAACATTAGGAAGTTGGGAGGTGAAATGCGTCCTTTACGCTAACACACCCGTTTAACCCGTCCTTTGGACTTGCTGGGAATGTTCATGAAAACACCCATCAGGTCACCCTCCATTCCAAGACCTGCACCCATTTTCATACACTCCCTCCAAGTCACCAATGTGACGATGTGGCACTGAACATTTCATCCGAAGACCCTCAAAACAGTTTGGGGAGACACGGTTTTGAACAGGTTGGAGAATGAAGTGTGAACTGGTCGACACGGAAGAACCATGAAATCCATGGCAGCCAACTGCCATCCTTTTTGCCATCAATGACTCCAACGCCGCTCGCACGCTCTACGCCGTGTGAGAGGCACCTCGGGAAGACTCCTTCAAGGTGCCCTTCAAGCGCCAGCCCTCCGTCATGCAGGTGCCCGAGTCGACCCGTCGACCGAACCCGTGGCGTCCGCGGCCGCGGCCGACGTGGGCGCGTCGACCGTGCTGCGAGGCCTTGGCGAGCTTCGGGTCCTCGCGATGCTTGTCCGAGCCGCCTGGAACGAGGGGTTTGGGACGGAAGAGGAGTTGGGGGAGGAGTTGGGGGGGCATGGATTGTTCACATCATGGTGATCCTAACATCAAGATTCGACCGCTTCCCTGCATGGTGCTGCCAGGGTCTTTGGTTCTTTTTCTTGGGATCCAACTACGGTGTTTTCTGGTGCTTGGTTTGCTTTACAAGTCGAGGAGTGCGTGGATATTGATGTGAAGGAAGAATGCTGGCCGTGTGGCCGTGTCTCCATGTCTTTTGAATCCTCTGAAATCCGAGACGCGACAGTACCAAGGATGGTGGATGTAGAGATGATGGACGGGACGGTGGAAGTGGGGAGCTCAGGATGAGGCAACATCTGTGCCATACGCCCTCGTCGCAGGTGAAACAGCCACTGCCTGTTGAGAGGGGATGAGAGCCTTGAGCATTTTTCATTCAAAGCGAGGCTGATGAGTTGTGGGTTATTTCAACTCAACTAAGAAATACTAATGAAGATCTTTAACTCAACTCAACTAAGGAGATCTTGAGCTTGGAATGGTGAGTTTGTGGAGCGTAGACGTCCCGCATCGCAAAAAGGGACGTCGAGTCGAGCGTCGCGCGAGCGGAGCTACACCGCCCGTCCAGCTCGTCCATCTCGGATCGAAATTGAGGTGATCCGATCGAAGTCGAGCCAATCCTTGTTCTTCGCCGCTGGGCAAGCCTTTCGTGGCCGATTTTTCCGATTCCGAAGGAAAGGACAAAGGGACAGGACAAAGGGCCGAGTGGGTGGCCCTGGTCATTCAGTCGGCTGGGTTTGGAATGGTTTGGGCATGATGGGCTATGCTCACTATACGGGGCCAAACATGACATGAGTTTCCTGAAAGTTCCTGCAGCCGATGACTTGAGATGATTCATGTCAACTGAGGTCCAGGAGCTCGTCTTCAAAACTCTCTTGAAGCAATGGACAAATGAGTTGGATGTAAATTGAGTTTGAACATGTTTGAACAGTTTGTCATTTGTGGGGTTCAGCTCCTCACGATCTAGAGCTCTGAACGAGTTTTGCCAGTCCTGATCACGCGGAGGCTTTCCTTCCCTCGAAAAGATCCGCAGACACGTCGTTTGCATTGTAAAGTTGTGTTTGCGCTCCATGCGCAGTGTGATGTTGCCTGCTTATGTTTGAACCAACATCATCCCTGTTTCCCCATGCAGCCCAAGCACTCCCAACACCAGCACACCAGCACGCCAACACCTTCTCACCCGCGTGTGGATCGTGTGGAGCGCGTGTCCACACTCGTCGAGCATGGATCATTCAGGCGAGATCCATCAGCTGGAGCGCCCCGATGGGAAGCAGCTCCGTTCCCACCCTGCCCTACTTCGACGAGCTCGACGTTCGTCAGGCGCGCGCACGAGCACGCGCACGCGGGCACGCGCACGAGCACGCGGGCGGGCAAGGAGGGTGGAAAGGAGATGAAAGGAGACCAATCAAAGGGGGATCATTACAGTGGATTGAGAATATAGATGGCACAATCACCAAAAGGTGGTTTGTATATGGATCCCCATCCAAAAGACATCATTGGCTTTGTGCCATCTACTCTGAAACCACTGTAGATCTAGAAGCTGGATCCAGCACCACCCAATTGACCGATGTTTCTTTTCGTCGGCCCCTGACCACGACATATGACGACTATTTATCCTTCCAATTGACCACCTGTCGACGGGTGGCATGTGTCACAGCCAAGTGGGAGCTCGTGTTTTTTCTGGCTTGGAAGGATGCACGACTTCGGAAGCCCTGCCACTTGAAGACCTTCAGTTCTTAACCCTAGGGCTCCAAGTACCTCCTGAGAAGGTATTTGAACATATTTGGACCCTCTAAACCCACCCAAACACCTTCTTAGAAGGTACTTGGAGCCTTAAGTTCTTAAGAGTTTCAATCACTTCAGGGAGGAAGAACCCTCACTTAAGGAAGGGAACAAACACCTTCAGGAAGGACTTCAAAAGTACCATAAAACACCAATCAGCCCTTTCAACTCTTTCTTGGCGGGGGTCCTAGTTTTGTATTTTCACCCCGAATTAGAGTTCCCAATGGGGGCCCCGAACATGTTGGAACAGGTTGGAACTGTGCAGCCTGTGCAGCCGGTCATTAGAATACATTGGTGTTTTGTCCCAGGACACCTGCAACAGTTGGTATCCTTTAGGGATCCAAGTACCTTCTCAGAAGGTGATTGGAGACACTGTTATGTAGGTGCCAGGAGGGTCCAGTCGTACCTTCTGAGAAGGTACGACTGGATCCCTAGGGCCTGCAACTGAACATGCATCATCCACCGGGCCCTGGCACTTTTTGAATTCATGGTTACATGGATGGCCTGCTCATGGCCTCAAAAACGGCTTGGATGCCGACCCTGTGACCCTTGAATAGTTCGATTTGCACGAAAATATTCAAACACCTAATGATTTGATTTGCCTACATTGAACTCGTCTTGACCACAATTTAGACAGAATACGCCAAAATCATGTCCATACCGTTTTTAACTTAAAAAGTTGGAAATCTGTCCGGTTTTTGTGATGTTCATACCGACTTTGTTTTGGTATGTTCGATTCGTCATTGAGCACTCAATGAGACATGCCGCACGTCCGAGCGTTGAGGTTTCGAGCCCCCCCGCTGCCGATCCTGCGTCGCAATTGATGCAGATCGATGCGCGTTCGATGGGGAGCAGCTGTTGCGTGGCCAAAAGGCGGATGCGCAGCCAAAAGACATGGCAAGCATCGCGAAGCAAAAGGAGGGTTGGAAGTTGAGCACTTTTCATTCATTGCTGGAAAGGGTGGAGTTGTCATACTTTGTGTCGATCTGACTCATGCAGTGCATTTTTGCAGTGCATGTTGGTTTGATGATGATGTTATTTTGCAAAATTGGTATTTTTCTTGGATCATTTCACCATGATATGATATGTTTCTTTTGCTCAGATCCTATGGCATTATGGGTTCTTGCAAGGGCAAGCAGTGTAAACAGTGTAAACTTGTCCAGCCCAGCTGATGGTTCGCATCGTTTCGGCTATGGCTCAGCTGCAGACATTAGACGGAAGGCACATTCAACCGGCAGCAACCAACAAGTAGCCCGCAAAAAAAAATACAACAACAACTTCCCTTCTAGCGTCAACACTCAACCGTAGACAGCACTGGTTCAACAAGATGGCTCAGAAATTAGCAGAACATGAACCTTTCGAATGCTTTCCGATGCTTCTTGTTTCTCACTAGAAACCAGGTCTTGGATGTGAATTATGGGTGTTATAGTTTGCAGTGTACCAAGTAGTTCCCGCAGAGAAAACACCTCAAAAGCACCACCTCAAAAAACAGAAGAACCACTTCAAAAACCCGGTGCTTAACCCTTACCGTAAGAACCGCTAAGTGTATCCACACTGTTTGGGGAAAACCACTGAAATGATGCACCACCTCCGACAGCGGATCTCAATTATATAACGCTTCCCCGCTGCGGGCAGCGGAGCCGCTGCTGAAGCGATGGCGATGATGTCTCAAGGGTCGATTTCAGAGGACAAGGCCTTTGATCGGAGAGGGCAAGGGCTTGGGAGTTGGAAAAGGAACGTAGACTCTGTCATATTCTGTTTATGGTGTTAATAGCTGTTTTTCTTGCGGGGTCTAGCAGCTATAAATATCATTTTATATCATGTTTAACACATGTTTAAACTATATATGTTCGAATTCTATAGCCCCAAAAAAACTTATGTATATATACCCAGATCTTCAATGTCTATAGTAAACTTCGACGTTGTCCTTGTCTATAGATTCCCTGGTTAAACAGCGACATTACACAATGTACATACTTTACTCGCCACTTGGCACTCAGCTGGCTCCAATCGAAGAAACACATCCAAACCATGGGGCTGATGCAACATAAAGATCAATGATTCACACTTACTGTTGGGGTGCATTGAGAATCTATTCACCCGGCTGCTCCCATGGATTGATCGATGCTGAAGGCACTTCGAAAGCGTCAGACCCCTAGATCGTCCTATAGCTCGAAATAGAAACCACAATAGGTTCAGCTACATCACCGACATGCCCAGGGCAGCGGGAGCTTCGATTAGATGGAGAAGGTGGGCACCACCCAAGCTTTCAGACATTTTACTGGACCAGAACACGCAACTCAGGTTTTTCATATCTCTTATTGATTCTGTATGTCTTTCTTTGCTCAAAGCCGCCTGTGCTGACCACCGTCCCCGCACGCATTTTTCTGTGGGTTTGCCGGAGCGATCTTGAGATGCCCACGGTCAAGCCTGACAAAACGCGCATGAAGTTGCTGAAGGACTGTGGTGCATTTAGAATTGGGGAAAAAGGTAAACAGTGCTCCAAAATGATCAGGACATATATGAAGAGCAGCTGGAGGGAACCTTCAGGGAAGACCGGTTCTACGCATTATCTAAGCTAGAAGGCATCCCAGCGGCCAAGTTCGAAAAAATCATGCAAGAGAGAAAGGTGTTTCCGGCATTCTTGCTTAATTATTCAGCCCGTTCAAGATTGGTCCGACGATAGCCAACAAGCCAGGTGCCCTGCACATTTTCCTTCATCGACGTCCACCCGAAAAAAGGATTGACGGAGGACTATGTAAGCCTGGCTTTTTTCACCATCATTAAAGTTCTAATGTTTATGTTTGCGTGACTTTGCAGGTGCAATGCAAGCGGAATACTTCATTTTTGAGCGCTTGGTTACCAACCTTCGCACTCAACCAGCCCACGGAGAAAGAGTGCAAGGTTGGGTCTGAGAAATGATTCAATCAACTATCATATTTTTGCTTATCCATCGTCCAGGAGGTTTTGCAAGAGATTGCAATCACACATCATCTTGTTCCAGAACGATCGATCACACCCGCGGTCGAGGAAGATTGCTTCACCTGTTCTCTAGCGTGGGATTTGTTTGAATAGTGTTTCATAGCAGGACTGGGCCGAAAAGGAAGGAGGTCTTCATCGTCTACTGGCTTCAAGGATGCTTACCTACTACCGGAGGGCCAAGAACGGAAGGCTACTAGATTCTTTTCAAAATAAATCCAGAAATCCACTGTTTCTGTCAGGCGTAAAGATGGTCCTATGCATCAACTGAAGACCTTGGTCAGTGCCATCTTCGAGGACCCCCTTTAATTTCATATGGCCGCCATTCATATTGCAACAAAAGAGTCTTCACTAGTCGCAGGATGCGGGAATTCAAAGGCGAACTAGAAGACCTCGCAAGGCACGTGGTGGAACCCACCATATTCTGTATTGTTCGGAATCCCTCCAACCGGGTCCAACCGCATCAGGCTGATGACAATAAGTCTACTGATGAGAAGAAAGATGGCGAGCAGGAAAACACAGATCAGGAAGAGCAGTTGGAAGAGCACGAGGATGAAGACTGCATCGTATTGGTGGAGGAAGAGGAAGAGGAGGAAACTTTTGAGGAAGATGCAGAAGTTGATGAAGAACAGATTGAAGAGCGGGAGATTGAGGAACTGAGGAAAGCATCCGGGGAGTACAACAAAAGAATCGATGAGGAAGCCCAGATGATGCAGCAACAAGAAGATGAACGGCTCAAAGAAAAGGCAAAAGACCAAGAACTTCAGAAGGCTGAAGAAAAGAAGCAGGCCGAGGAACTGAAGCAGGCTGAGGAACTGAAGAAGGCTGAGGAAGAGAAGAAGGCGCAGGAACTGAAGAAGGCTGAGGATTTGAAGAAGGCTAAAGAACAGAAGAAGGCCGAGGAACAGAAGAAGGCTGATGAGAAGAAGGCGGCAGAACAGAAGGCTGAGGAAGAGAAGAAGGCCGAGGAACTGAAGAAGGCTGAGGAAGAGCAGAAGGCGGCAGAACAGAAGGCTGAGGAAGAGAAGAAGGCCGCAGAACAGAAGGCTGAGGAAGAGAAGAAGGCCGAGGAACTGAAGGCTGAGGAACTGAAGAAGGCTGAGGATTTGAAGAAGGCTGAAGAACA